AGCTTGGACACAGGGGCTTGGAGCAACCTGCTCTAGTGGAAGGTGTCCCTGCCCGGGGCAAGGGTTGGAGCTGGAGGAGCTTTAAGGTCCCTTCCAACACAAACCTTCTATAGTTCTGCTTAATAGCATCCTCCTGCCTGCGGTTCACCCCATTCCTTCTTGGACTCCTTCAGCACCTCCTGGTTGCTGGGTCTCTGCTTCTTCTTTCTTCTACCCTGTGGTGACATCCCAGGCTCCATCTTCTCTGCCCTCACCTTGGAAAGCCCCATGAGGGCTCTGCTTTGACTTGGTTGGCATCTCCTCCTGGCTCATCCCACCCGCAGCACCGTCGCAGTGGGTGATGGATGCCCTTAGCATCAGCCTCATTGCTTCCTCATTGGCCTGAGGTTCCCTTTTCCTTGGAAGAGGCACCAACGTGTTGTTCTTGTGCTGTCTCCTTCCTCCCTCCCTGGAGGGGCTGCCCAGCTTCTTCCTTCATCTTCCTTCTCCTGATGTGCTGAGCCACATTCCCTCTGCTCCCAAACTCCTCCATCCTTCAGGTTCCCTCTTCAATGGCAGGGGTTTGGCACTGGATGGGCTTTAAGGTTCATTCCCCAAACCATTCCATGATGCTGTGACCATCCCTCCTCCCACCTTGCTGGGGACCTCTGGAAGCCTTTGCTCCCTGTTCTCCCTCCTCCCAGTCTCGGTGGTGGATCTCCTCTGTGCTTCCTCAGCTCACTCTGCCAAACCCCCTACAAAACAGGCTCCAAAAGATGGATATTCCCTTTTCTCCCTATTTCCTCCCAAATCTTGGCACCAGGGTAGTGGGTATCCCTCAGCACTGGCTGGTTTTAGCCTTCAAAGGTGTATATAGGGAGAATGTGTATATAGGGATAAGGCATATCCATAGGGATAAGATGTATATAGGGATAAGGTGTATATAGGGATAAGGTATATGTAGGGATAAGGTGTATATAGAGATACAGCGTATATATAGGGATAAGGTATATACAGGGGTAAGATATATATAGGGATAAGAAATATATAGGGATATTATATAGGGATAAGATGTATATATAGGAATAAGGTACCTATAGGGATAATGTGTATATAGGGATAAGTTATATATAGGTGTAAGGTATATGTAGGGATAAAGTGTATATATAGGGATAAGGTGTATATATAGGAATAAGGTGTATATAGGGATAAGGTATCTATGGGGATAAGGTATCTATAGGGATAAGGCGTATACAGGGATAAGGTATCTATAGGGATAAGGGATCTATAGGGATAAGGTGTATACAGGGATAAGGTATCCATGGGGATAAGGGATCTATAGGGATAAGGTATCTATAGGGACAAGGTGTATACAGGGATAAGGTATCTATGGGGATAAGGGATCTATAGGGATAAGGTATCCATAGGGATAATGGCTCCTTGTCCTCAGCCACCCTTTGAAGCTGAACTGACCGAGATCCTCCTGTGCAAGAACGAGCTCCACGAGACCCTGAACAACCTGTGCCACTGGATGAAGGACAAGCACGTGGAGAGGAACATGGTGAGAGCAGGGAGAGGATGGGGCAAGGACCCACCTCCCGTGCAGAGCTGGGTGCGATGGGGCCTTGGAGGTGGTGCTGCAGGCTGGGACCTGCAGTGGGGTCCCTCATGTGGTGGGTGTCCTGCAGGCGACGCGGCTGGACTCGGCCTTCATCCGCAAGGACCCCTATGGGGTGGTGCTCGTCATGGGGCCCTGGTGCTGCCCCATCAACCTCCTCCTGGGGCCTCTCATTGGGGCCATCGCTGCTGGTGAGCTGAGGATCCAGGCTGGGGTGCCACAGGGGCTGGTTGTCACCATGTCACTGCTCTGATGTCCTCTCCATCTCCCCCCAGGTAACTGTGTTGTCATCAAACCCTCGGAGATGACCAAGAACGTTGAGAAACTCATGGCTAAAGCGCTGCCCAGTTACCTGGACAGAGTAAGGAGCAATTCCTGTCCTTATCCCTGTCCCTGCCCCAGGGCCATGGTGTTCCCAGCCCTGCCTTGCCCTCACCAGCACTGGTTTGAGGTGCTGCTGTACCTCCTTCTGGTGTCCGCACCCCAGCAGCCTGGGATGCTGTTGGTGGGGATGGGGGGCCCATGCTGACCATGGGAGACCCTTCCTCTTGCACTGCAGGACTGCTTTGCCGTGGTGACTGCTGGTGTGCAGGAGACCACCAGGCTGCTGGAGAACAAGTTTGACTACATCTTCTTCACTGGTATGTCCCATGGGCCAGAGCAGAGCCCGGCCTGGGGTTAGTGCCATGTGGGACGGAGCTCCCACCGAACCCCTGGCTGTTCCTTACCCTTCCCATCCATGTGAGATGGTGGGCAGCCTGTCCTTACTGGTCCACTATGAAGGTAGGGCTTATTGTGTTGAGGGTCTGGTGTCAGGATGTCTGAGCACAGCTTTGTAATGGATGAGTAGGGGGGTACCAGGGTGGAGGTGGAGATGGAGAGGGCTCAGCCTCCACTGAGGTGGGTACAGGACAGGAGTGGGGCTTGATGTGTCTCCCTGGCTCTTCATAGAATGGTTTGGCTTGGAAGGGACCTTAAGATCATTCAGTTCCAGTGAAGGAAAGTGAAGGACTCTTGGTCTTGTGGCATAGAACCATGGAATCAATGAGGTTGGGAAAGACCTTTAGGACCATCAAGTCCAACCATTCCCCAGCACCGGCCACCACTAAACCATGACATTAAGGGCCTCATCTACACAGTTAACATTTCCAGGACAATGATTCCACCACTGCCCTGGGAAGCCTGTTCCAATGACTGAATGCCCTTTTGGGGGAGATATGTTTCCTAACATCCAATCTAAACTTCCCCTGGTGCAGCTTGAGGCTGTTTTCTCTTGTCCTGTCACTTGTTACCTGGGAGAAGAGACCAACCCCCATCTCGCCACAACCTTCTTTCACGTGGTTGTAGAGATAAGGTCTCCCCTTGAGTCCCATAAGCCCCAACCATCCCCCAGCCCCGCCAAGGCCACCACTCACCCATGGCACTGAGGGCATGGGTTGGGAACACTGGTGGGACCTGGCTTTTGACCATGGTGGGATCCTGACGCTGCTGCATCACTCCCTGCCCTCAGGCAGCCCGTCCGTGGGGGGGATGGGGGAGGGAGGGGC